AAATGTCAAGCAGGGTAGAATCAGATGAAAGCACCAGATTTTAGAGAATTAATATAGAACTAAGATAAAAATGGATTTTAGAATGAATTGGGGTTCAAAGAGGAAAGTGATAAGACCTGAAAACAGCATAGATGCAGGGAGGGAAGGAGCGCCATCGCTCATGCTAGCATTTTTGCCATCTCCCCCCAATGAACCAGGGAAGCAGTGGCTGCAGGAGACCCATCTGCAGGCCTGGAGTCCATACTCCAGGCAGCCTGTGCTTGGACCACCCCTAGGAGAGTCTATCGTATTGTACAGGTGGCTTAACGGGGCAGTATGAATTGCACATGAAATTTGTTGGCCACAGGTACCCTGGTAGGAGGCCAGGGTAGAAGTCCTGGAAGGAAAATGGTAGAGATTCTTGCTTAAAATGGCTAACCCAGGTTCTGTGGGATTAAAGCGCTCCCCAGCACACGGGCCTGTGAATCAGGCAGTGGCTGGAGGGAATCAGTGGGCTGGAGCAGCCAGCATGCCAGAGAGAAACCTCAGCTTGTGAAAGGATGAGGCTCTTGTTTCTACCTGGAAGAAGTTGAAGTCACTGGCCAAAAGGTCTCCTGCGGACTTCAGCTTGATGTCAATAAGCAACACAGGGTTCGACTTGAGGTTGGCCTCCAGGGGGGCAGATTTTATAGCACCTCAGTGAGATTGCTGATGTCGAGGGCCAGTAACCAGGTTCATACTGCCAGCACAGTTCAATAGCAATGCCTCAGTCCCAGATTCCTAATCTCTTCAAACACCTGCATGGGACCATTTTAAGCTGGACCCATCCCTATCACCCTTGTAGCTTGCTGACATCTCCTGAAGTGTCTGGAGCTCAAGGTTTTCCCCAGAGAACATCATACTTTTGAGTCAAACAATAAGATAGTTGTACTATACCTGCCTATCTTGGGCTGACCGAGGTAAACCTTCCTACAGAAAAATGGCACCAGATGAAGACTGACCTTTGTGAAACATGGTTGGTTAGTCATTCCTAAAAGTATAGCTGAATCCACATTTAAAGAGTTTATAGCCTACATTGTGCTATTTCAACATGGTTTTTAAAATAATGAAAATTAAATTAACCAGAAGATTGAAAATCTGTCTATACACAAACAAGTTTGATTTGCATGCTGAAACGATTGTGCTTTTGTTTCACTGAACTGACCAAGAATGTGATTGATTTAACTGAATGAGCCAGTTATTTTTGTGCTACGTTGGCTGTAGAAACCATGCATGTAGTCTGTAGACATTAAGCCCTGCTGGCACAAATAAGCAAAGACTATGGAGTTCACCTTTTGTGTGTTTTAGTCAGTATTGTTCATGTTCAGAACTTGAAACGGAACACAGAATCCCTCATGGTGAATTTCAGTTAAAAATGCAGATTCTTTTAAATGATTTGTATGGATAATCTAACATGGTTAACTTTATACAAGGGGCATTTTATCTTTTTGTGTCTTCTCCCACCTCCCTGCATTCCAATAACAAGTATCTTTACTTTCTTTCGATGCTACTTCAAATAATCAGTTTGAGCTGTGGAAAATACTGGAGAGTCTTACCTCAAAAGAAGAATTTTGGCAAGTTTTGAGTGAAAACACAATTATAATCGAAACCACTATGCATACCTCTACCGCTGAGAGCAGACCTCATGTTTTTACAGTCACCCAGTGCTAATGCAGCAGGAGGGCCCTGTCCTAGATTCTTTGTGGCTCCAGACTACTTTATTTCCTTTCTTCTCACCGTAGGAGAATGTTTCCTTTTTCCCTGCGTCTTAGGGCCTATGAGACATCATTAGCCCTTCTGGCTCTGTATCTTTCTATTTATCTTTTTTGCTTTCTTCTGTTTCAAATTTCATAGTTTACTATTTCTGCTTCTGTGTGAACAAGGCTGGATTCACTATTAAACTAAAACTGGAGAGAACAGCTCATTATTACCACTTCTCAACACCTGTTATGTGCCAGGGGCTAGATAGGTGCTTTGCATACTTTATTTCTAATAAAACAACCCCATGAGTAAGGTTAATAGTCACATTTTACAGTTGTGGAAACTGACGCTCAGAGACCAAGGAAAAGCTTGCAGTCAGTAAGGGACAAAACTGATGGAAGACCTCAGGGCTATTGCCTTCCAAAGACTATACTCTGAATCTGTTCACCGGGCCTCGCTTAGCCTGGGTCACCTTCCCAGGCTGGTGACACTAAACTTCCAGTGATGGCTGTGGGACTGATCTTTATCTAAGGATTACATGTCTTCTTTAATTTTGCAGTATTTCTTTTGCCATCCTGTCCGGAAACTCTAAAGGAAAACCCACTACACTGTGCAGTCCTTTCTAACTTTGCATCTTGCTACACTTCTTAGCAGCATGATTGCTCAGTTATCATCCATCCATCAAGTGATGGAGGCTACAACAAAGTTTAAACTTCAGTGGCTGAGTTTCTTGGAAATGCTTTCAAACATATAATTGGAGCTTTCTGACATACCCTTTTCTAAACTGTTCTCGCTGAGGCAGTATCAGTCAGAATACAGCTAAAAGTAACAAAATTTAGCTGTGTGAGGCAGAAAAGGATTCAAAACAAGGAAAGAGCAGCATCTAGGTAGGTCCTCCAGGAATGACCCTCAGAGTAACAGTGAGGATCCCACCAATCAGGGAAGCTGCTCCTTCTGCTACACTCAAGGGGCAGGAATGGTGAGGCTACCTTAGCACCTTTACAGCTGCTGCTGGACATCTCTGTGGCAGCCACTGGAACACCGTTTTAGACAGATTCAACATCTCTGGCAAGTGAAGCAAATCACTGGCCTCCACCCCACTTCCATCTTCTGAATCTTGCATGAGTGGCTCTCATTAAACCCTGCCTGGTATCTAGAACCCTAGCTGTAAGGGAGTTTGAAATGCAGTTTTTAGTTTTTCAGTCTCTGCCATACAGAATACCGTACAGAAAGCAGATAGAATGGAGGGCCAGTAAACCAATTAGTCAACACTTGCGTATTTGGTGAACACTCTTTTCCTTTGTTTTGCATTGAGATGGAGAATTTTTGGCAAATAGTTTTAATCATGCAAAAAGACAAGAATAAAAGCACACCCTGGGAGTAGGGTTTTCCTTTCTCAAATGCATAAGTACTCTTTTAAGTGGAGATACTTTGTCTCAGTCTGTAACTCCAGGTAGAGGAAGTCAAAATGCAGACTGTAAACTCTATAATCCTTATGCTATAGAAAGACCAGAAGAGAATGGAATGGAAGGATATCTTCTTGGAAAATGCTAGACCTGTTATATTGTAGATTAAACTAAAAAATAATGTTACTATTACAGGGAACCTTAAACCTATCAAAGCAAGCTAATCAACTGTGAAGAAGTCAGTTAATACTGGATCAGCCTGCAACAACAATGAAAGGCTAAGATTCTTTATCTAAAAGAGAAAACTCTCGAGATCTCAGCAATAGTAGTAATGATGTTAATGACCTAACTCAAAGTGACGACGGTGTGAAAACTAACATAAACTTTTCACGTCTTTAAATGAAACTTGAAACTAAGCATTCCTTAACCAACTTATTGCTGGAAATAGCTATTATAGGAATAACAAGAGACATTTATCCAATAAGTGAGATTCTTTTCTTTGAATTATTTTTAACTGGGCTGTAAACTAGTCATCTGAAACAACTATCAAAAAATATGCTTATGATAAAACACAGTGAAGGAGACAAATCATTAATGTTCTTCAAAGACAAAGGTAGCTTTTAAGAAGTAAAATCTAAATATAATACCAACTTTTAAAACCTGGATAATGTAAAATTCTATTTTGGCTGCTTTAAATCAATTTTTATCTTCCTTGTCTACTATTTCTGATGGGGGTGGGGGTTGTGAATAGGTTCCTAAGGCTAACTATTCTTCTCTGTTTTTCGAAAGTACTTTCAATTGGGTTTTTCTTAAATACTAAAA